ATCGTCTGTTTCACGGCCCCACTCTGAACATATGTCTACAGATAATCGCAATTTTCACCGTTAAATACTACAAAACATTATGGATGGCAAATAATCTAAAATTTAATACAACTAAAAAGATAAGTTTTAACTACTATTTTTTAAATATCTGTTTATATTTTTTATAGGTAAAATAAAGATCCTTAATTTTAAATATGGTTTTCAAATTCATGTATAATAATTATTTATTATTCGATCATTTAAGTCTGAATTAACGTTAGTCCTACGACTTTAACCAACATGTATAGTATGAATACTGTATGTATACAGTTGTTACGAGTACATGGTACAAAATTATTTTTACAATATTACTAAAGTATAACATGTATCAAATTTAATAAATCCATTTTAACAGATATTAAAATCAGTACTATTATTTATGTGTAAACAATAAAATACGCATTATTCAATTTGTCAAACATTTTTCATTTCATTTTTTTGCACCCTAAAGCAATATTATAAATCTATTATAACAGTACAAAGTATGAAGACATTTTAAAAATTATCGATAATATTGAAAATTAATTAAGTGTTAAATTTTAACACTGAAAAATTCTCAAAAAGAATAATCTTAATATAAATTTTATATTCCGGCAAATAGTGCAGGTTATACGTTACGATAGATGATAAATTTTTTTGAATTTGGTTTAACGTAATCATGCTTAAAAGAAAACTTGTATTGCCTACGACATATTTTTGAAAATTATTGTAACGAATAAAATATTATAAAAAACATTATAATTAATAATCCATACGGTCATTATAGCATCGTAAAATAATTTGCGGTTTAGAAAAAAAAGTGGTATTTAAAAAATCGTCAACCGAAACCCGCTCCAAGATAGAAATCAGATGACCTGATTTTTATTGTAGAAATAATATTTTAACAGAAACACCTATATCATCAATAAAAAAAAAACCGTCGCATTTATCCATTCATGCATATAAATGTATGCTAATCATGAGTGTTCTATACGTGAAATAAATTGAAACCATTCCCATTCGTAAGATACAATGTTAAAACAAAAACATTTATTCAAAAACGGAATTTAAACATAAATTTCGACTTTTAATTGACAATTATGTGTATACTATTAATTTAGAACTCAATTTAATAAATAATCCAACAACATTTACAGAACAATATACCAATTCGTATAGTATAAGTATGACAAATAAATTAAAGTTTTGGTTAATGTCACAAACCTATCAATGATTGATGAATTATCTATAAAAGTAGAATATAAAAATGTACAGGACAAGTCTAATGTGTACGAATTAGCTGTTTCTAACTTCCAAATATTAAAATAATCAATTAAAAAAATAAATTAAAATACTGCGTATATAATTACTTCAATTACAACCTACTTTAATATATATTAATATTCAAACGATCAATTGCATTGTTTTAAATAACTATCTAACGATAACGATATTTTAAAATACTTGGGTAATAATTAGGGATCTAAAATAAAACGACTAATATACCAATAACTCTGCATGTTACCCAATATTGATAGTTTTTATTTGTAATTGTTTAATAAATAAGCAACTTTACAAATGGGTGTATAATTTTGTTTTGCATGTCTTAAAATATTATATTTTCTGACCTTTTACCCCCCTAAAATATAGAATTTTAAAATAAAAAAATTAAAGGTTTAGTATTCTAATTTTTTCCAAGGTGGGTATTCTTTTATAATCAAGTCATGCTTTAACGATAAAACAAAAAATAAAATTAATCAAGAATAAGTATCATAAAGATAAAAAAAATTGAAAATTTCCCCAACCTTTTTTTGAAAAAATATTATGCTGTATTTATGTACAAAAGAGGGAAAATATTTTCAGTATCGATACAAAAATTAAATTTCAAAATAGCATTTTACGGAGTCACGTGTATAAAACTCGATCATCCACACAACGAAAAAATTATTGTTATTCTTTAACTAATCCTAATAGGACTTTTTTAATGATAAAATTATATACTCGTATTAGCATTTAATGTCATAAGAGCATAGCAAAATTATTAATTTTTTTATATAAATTATATTGGATAGTAATTTAATGATTTGTAAAATAATATACTTAGTAAATATTAATATAATACAAAAAATAATTATGAAATTATGTAGAATTCAGAAAAAATAATTAATTTGCAATATTTAAGTATATAATTTATATTATATTTAATCAATAATAATAAATACATTATGTGATTGTGTATCATCAACGAAATATTTAAAACAAAAATGTACTTCAATCTCAATTAATTTATGCTAAAAATTTAAATTTGTTGAAAATTCAATAAATTGATTTCGGAATAGTCGAATTGCACTTATTATCTACAGATAAATGGTCGAATTACACTTGGATTGAAAAAAAATAATGGTCGAACTGCACTCCAATAAAAAGCAGGTAGTGGTCGAAATGCATTCGTTCAAAAAAAGAGTTATAATGGAAAACCCTCTAAAAATATCATGAATCTTACTGTTGAAGAATGTTACAGCGTACTTATTTAATAGCATTATATATTAGTTCGTGCCATTTAGATAACGCAGATAATATTATATAATAACATATATACTCAGAAGCGTATTACCAGGGTAGAATTTTTGAATACAGTTAGTCATTACTACAAAATATTATAATAATGACAATAATTAAATTTGACGATTAAAAAAAAAATGTATACCTAATAGTAATAATATGTTTATTATAATATAATATAATATAATATAATATAATATAATGTATAATATAACAATTATAATGTAAATATATATATAACTAACATATAATAATGTGATATATAAAACAATAATTTTTAACCACGCTAATGATTACTAAATGGTAATAAATGTAACTAAATAAAATAAATCTAACTCCTTCAAATACATGACAATTTTATTGAAATACTTTTTTGAGCCCAATTACAGTTCGACCACTACCTGCTTTTTATCCGAGTGCAGTTCGACCATTACCTTTTTTGAACCCAAGTGCAATTCGACTAAATTAAGTGCAATTCAACTATACCCATTGATTTACTAATGACAAATTATAATTGTATAGTATAATGTATGAGCATCAATATTTAAAACACAATAAAATTATGTAACTTGTAATAACTGATTAAAACTGATAAGGTTTAACGACTTTAAATTTCTTGAGTAATTCTCTAAAATAATCATCGTATATTTTCCTGTAACTATTTAATAAAATTTATAATGTGTTGCCACCCCGAACAAAATTCAAGGTGTAATTTGAATCAATGTCAGTGTGTCCAATAGACGTAGGACAATTTATTTTTACTTATTATTCCAGTGTATATTTCGATTAAACTTTTGAGTTTGGAAACTATATTTAAATACAATTATTTTAATAGGTTATAATTAGAGCGTGGATTTGTATGCATTAAAAACCAATCAAATGCGCTAAAAAAAACCTAAATATGCATAAATATATGTTAAAATATCCACGAAAAATAAAAAAAAATCTTATATCTTATCTTATATTATTATATTATCTTAGTATACGCATTTTATATCCCCGATTTTTGATCTAAGGTTATATTTGGGAAAACCATTTATACCTACAAGTATACCTATTAATTTATTTTGATATTAATGGAAACTATAAAAATATAATATATTTTTTTTATGTTATAATACTATATATTTCAAAAATATCTAAAAAAACAAAAAACATCGAAATACGCTATTAAAATTGTAAAATAAGCCCTTAAAATAGAAAAATGTCAATATATGCAAAAATATACGCTAAAAAAGTTTCATTTTTTAATTTGTTGTTATGAAACAAATTTTGTGCTCACTTAGCATATCATATGATTAATCAGAATAAATATGCAAATACAAACAAATCCGCGCTCTAGTTATAATTAATTAAAATGATTAATTATAATCTACGAACTAGAACAACGTTTAATTTCATAAGTGTCTAATACACATAAAAATAATAAATACAATCCTTAACGAATATTTGAATTCTTCATTTCGCAACAACTTGTGTGAATATTCATTAGAAATTTTTATATTTATATTCGAAACGGATAAAGAATAATTTTAACAATTATTTTGTCACGATATAGTTGTTACTGCAAATCTCGTCAAAAAAACGTGTATTAAATTATACAAAATGTTTTCGACGAAATCGGATATCGAAAATATTATTCTGTGCGTAGGCTTTCCAGAAGACGAGAAAATTATGTGCAGTGGCGTATTTACAGGAGTAGTAGAAGTTCCTTGACCTTAAACTTATATTTTTCTAAAAGTTTTTTTTAATATTATAATGTAACTTAGATCTTTCATGCGAGTTTAATATTTTTAAAATTATGACAGGAGTAAATACTTTATCCGTACGTTATTTATTTAAATCAAAGTACGTTATAAATTTTAGTTCGAACAGTTTTCTATAGGTAATTAGTAAGTAGATACAATTTTAAACAAGCCACTAACTACATGTCGTTGGTCATCGATTGGTATCAACTAGTCAAGTTAGTTGGTTAGTTATTAACGATAATAACTTTATTATATTTCCGTATTATCAAGATCTCTAGAAAACGCAAAACAAAACATAAACTCAACTTAATACGAACGGGACAGTTTGAATAGATAAGGTAAATAAATTGGGTTTTTTTATAATAAAAAAAACCATCAACACAACGAAAAGCAAACCGGTGTCGGACGGACCCCGGGTATTATATTTTTATAGATATATGATGGTGCTCAAGATGATAGCCAACAAAATATTTTAGAGATGTTTAACGTATAAATACGTATGTTTTTCGGGTAGCAAATTTTAAAATTTCAAATGTAAAAGACATTTAAAACTATCGAATTTTATTTAAAGAAAACATTTCGGGTGAGTTGAATCCTAACCCCCCCCCCTTCCCCCCGGGTTCCGGGCTTGATGATATTCTACGGTACCGGAACGGCGGCGATGGCACTTACCTCGTGCGGTAAACGGGTGCCGGAACGGCCGTGGTCGTGGTAGCGATCGTCGTCGTCGTCGTCGTCTGCGCACGTGGACGACGGTACCGTTTGTGTGACCATGTTAATCGCATGCCGTGCACTGAGTCGGCGGCACGTTGGCCCGCGTACAAAACGGCCGTGCACTGCTCATTCATACGCGGCGGCGGCGGACTACGAACACGCGCCGACTGTTTCGCGTCTACCGACTGTTTGGCTCCTCCCCGCACACCGCCACGGACGAAACTTTAACGGTGAGCGTTTTCTCGGGTCTTCGGACCGAACGACGAACGCGAGACGCGTCCTTAAAACCCATTGTCGTTTTCCGTTCTCGTCGTCGGTCGACGCCAACACTCGAATTGAACCGGGCATCAATCGGACTAGGTAAAAAATAATTAAAACTACAAATCACGAATTCGACACCGATTTGCACACGCGTTACACTCACGAAGTGAGCAATTATTTTTACCATTTATTTTGTTTTCGCACTTTTGTTGTTTTTGTTATTATTTATTTTTTTTTTTTTTTTTTTTCATAAAATTATGTTCCTGTTTCGTTGTTACTTACCAAATCAATCCCATTACGACATACAATAACAATAGTTACTCGAATGGTTTACCGCATTAATTTTCCATCTTCACCAAACCGATGGTGAAACGTTCCATTTTTTGTCCATCGTCACGTCCAAATTGGACCGCATGCTTGATGATTTTCATTTCAAACACAACTTAGGACGCTCTGACGTCGACCCACAAATGAGTACATATAAACTGCCCTAAAGTATTGTAAATTCCCCTAAAAACTTTTTGCTACTGAATTACACGTATGAAAACTCTCCAACAAATATTTGACTACTGAATTACACGTATGTAAACTGCCCTGAAAACATATTGCTACTCAATTTCACGTATGTAAACCGCCCAATAAAAAACTTCTCTTTACCGTCATTTTATGTATAGCAAAATATTTTTACAAACCTTAGTGTTCATTTTAAATCATGAGTAAATTTATCTCTGTTCACCGAATATGTTTCTATATAACGAATAAACTGTACAAAAATAAACCTGTTTTTGTAGAACATACTAATGCATTATGCCAATAATATGAAATATTATTTTAAAACCCTACAGTTTTAAAAGGTGGACCATATTATAAATGTGCATAATACATTTAGATACGCAAACGTACGCAAAAATACGACATAAATTTTTAAAACAGCTAATAGAAAATTATAAACAACAAATAGTTACCAAGTTCCAATACATAAGATCAGTCTTACATTATTACTCATTCAAACATTAATATCACAAAATTAACAAAAACTATTGACGATTATAATAAAAAATCATATGATGATATACGAGCTACAAATATACAAATAAAAGTTCTCCTACCAGAAAAAAAATTGTTTGGAGAATAATGGAACCATCTCTAAGTGATGTTCACTGGATAACGCCAAATGATTCTAATATTAAAATATAAATACCTAATGTAATATTATTAGTATAAATTCAGTAGCGAATATTTTTAAGGGAGTTTACATACATATAATTCAGTAGAAAAAAGTTTTTTGGGGGATTAACTACTGCACTTTTAGGGCAGTTTACAATTGCCCCCACAAATCACCTATTCAGGAAAACGCTGCTATGAAACGTATGCTCGTACATACGAGTATCCCGAAAATAATTTTCAAATTCTCCCAGCAACCGAATCGCCCCTACCCTCCTCTGTACGTCGTTGTGAATAATTGCCCATCCCGGTGCATATCATTATATCTATGTAGCCGCGTCCGTTTTCGACGAAATCCGTCGCGAGTTTGCAAGGAACGTAATCCTCGATTCGCTGTGTTTGCGTGCGTTTAGGTTATATACGTAAAGTTTTGATTCGCGCGAAATTGAAACCTTACACTGTTCTCCATTAGAACGATGTGGATTTATTGGGCAGTGGAATGGTAGGTTAGGTTAACCGTATTTAAATGCACGAGCCTGTTTCCGGAAACGGTCATAATTCGTCCATATACGTACGCGTATCACCACGCTATAAGAATTTATCTTCTACTAAACACTTAACGCTTTTCTATTTTGATACAAAGATTGAATTTGGGCGCATTTAAAATTTAACGACGCATTTGTTTTCTTTGCAACCGGTATAGTTAGTAAACTTCTTTATTTTTATCATAATTCACTTGTGTAACTAAAATATTATGCCGTCTCGGCAGACGATTTGATTTTTTTTTCCTATTAGACTTTCAGAATCGCAAGCACTACAGTTCAGGCGCATATTTTAGAAATAGTTAAAGGGGGCGATTTCCTCCCCCCTGAACCCGTATTTAAGAAATCGATTGTACGAGTATGTGAGATATACATTACAAATTTTTTTAATGTGGATCATTTTATAGCGAAATCAAATTACGCGTGGCTGTGAATACTGAATTGTGCTTTTTTTGGGTCTATACTTAGTAAAAAATCAAATAAAATACAAGCGTAATTTTCAAAATATAGACAGGTGTTAAAAAAAGAATTACACAAAAGACGATTATAAATGGATCCGACATTAGATTAAAAAAAAAAATCACAAATATTAAGGATTTGCCCAATTTAAATATTACCAATATATGACTTGTACATTTTGAGTCTGAATTAAAGAAAAATTTGAGTCCTCCCCCTCCCTAGAAATAAGTCTAAATACGCCCCTGCTACAGTTTTAGTTTTTATGGTGTTATTATCAAATTAAAAGACATATCTCATTTCAAAAACTCGATGTAATAAACCCTTTAAATTATTATAAATACTCTTATACTGAGTACTAGCCACGGGAGATAAATTATTTTATTTGATTAATTCAACGTAATAATCATCACATTTGAAATTTCTAAATACATCTAACAAAAATCACATTACCCAAGTATAATAAATCTTGTTTTACTTTTTCGTTTATTATTTATTGATGATCTTTTTGATAAATGATACAGATAAATTCGAAAAATAACTTCTTTAAAATACAATCATTGTATTCAATTTCCAACCTTAAACTATACATAGAAAACTTTTTAAGCTTATAACTGTCTAAAAAGTTTTTACCAAGGGAGAGAAAACAGATATCATTGGATATTCTCTCTCGAAATGTTAGCAATATACTATGCCATAAAATATACAAAAAGTTCTGGACTACCTTGTTTTAACATCATATTCACTGACTCACTAATCTCCGTAAAATGTTTAAATAACCATAGAAACAACAACAGCCTAAAATCAAAAATAATTGAAGCAGTAAATACCTATAAGAATGAAATAACTATTTTCTGAATACCAGGACATAGTAACAATGAAGGAAACGAAAGAGTAGACTGTCTATTAAAGGAAGCAGCCAATAATGAGCAAATATAGATAAGGGAAAAACACTATACTTATGAAGATACACTAAGATGTATTAATTCTGCGATTAGAGAAATATGATTAATCAAATAGAGAGGAAAAGAAACCAAACTTAAGTCAAAAAAAACACATAACAGAACGTTAGAAAAATGTAGCTAAATTTAATAGAAAAGAAGAAGTATTATTAACACATTTAAGGATAGGAAATACTTGATACATACACGGATATCTAATGAACAACGATTAACAGATCAAATTCACAACATGTAAAGTCCATCTAAAAATTAAACAAATCCTCGTCTAATGCAGACAAACAGAAACTACTAGAACCAAATATAACATTCTGGGGTATCTCTATCAGTCTTTAGGTCCGCACAAATCAATTATTAAGCAGACATTAAAATTCCTCCAAGATATAGATATTGAAAATTAATTGTAAACGACTAAAATATAATATGAAAAAAAAATTACAAAAAAACTAATATTAAGAAATAATTAATATCAAATATCAGCCAATGGCCATCTCTTCCGAGGCTTATTTATAATAAGAAAAAAAAATGTCATTGGAAACTATGTTTGTGTACATTTCTATTCTAAGTATTCTAACTATGATATAATTTTTTTTCTGGACTCATTTATATTATAGAGTCATGCATAAAAAGTTTAGAATATATATATATTTAATAATATAAAATAAAATAATTAAAAAAAGCAATTACGTTATTAAAATTTAATGTTAAAATATCGTTTACAAAGCTATATTTTCTGATTGTAAACACAACCCTACGCGTATATTTATATACATATATACATATTATTTAAGTGGTTTCAGCACTAATTAATATATTAGACAATAAGAATAATTTCAGAGATTATTTCCTTTAATTTTAACTTTAAAAAACTAATTTGATCAATTACATTTTTTCTACACTTTTCTTCGATTCGTACTCGTATACTTTTTGACGATAAAACTTCTTGGTCTTAATTCATTTAAATTCCAGAAATGTTCGATTAACATAAAACACATCGAAATAAATTATTATTATTTTTAATAATTCAAAAACATTACTTTATATAAATATTTAGAATTTATTCAACATACTTAATTATAAATTAATCTCACAAATTATTTGAGTTTCTATAACCTAGTTTAATAATTCAATAGTGAATAATTTTCTAGTCTTCAAGAAATATTCGTTATATTTCATATATTTTCAATACTATTTACTATAACATAATAGCACACATCGCTATGATAAAGCATAATTTTTAGTTGATATTTCATGTACGAGTATAATAGTTGTAGTTAAAAATCGGTCATTATTACTGCAAGAAACAAAGACACTATTAAGTTTTTACGATATGTTACTTTTTGTTATACCCGTTAATGCATTTTTTATTACTATAAAAAGCAACCTCAAAATTTTGTTATAACTCTAAAATCGGAAATATACTGAGTACTTAAAAATGGTTAATTTTTAGACCTCTTATAAGATTGATAAAGGAAGAGATAAAACGTTTAATTGGTGATACATTTTTTTATTCGCAAATCTTTACAATTTACTATTTTATAAATACATAAAAACAGTTTTAAATACTTTAAATTTTGAATTTTTACGATGAACAGTTAACTTATTATTTTTCAGTATTCAATATTTTTTTTTGTCATTCAAATTGATATCATGCTTACAATATAGATATTCGCCCTAAACCGCAACCCACTTAAACGTATTTTCCAAACATTAACTATATATATATAGTATTATAAGTGTAATATCTATTGACATTTATCCAAATTTAATAATTTTCTTCATAACATACCATTTAAAAAGTAACATTATAT